GGTGCCCTGTATAAGGTGCTAGGGGTGCCAGTGGGAAAGGATGGGCCTTGCTCTCAAGAAGCTCCAGAACGAGACAGATGAGAGAAGAGAGGTTTCTAGAAAAGGATGAGAAGTGAGGTGGTGGGGGTTTGCCTGTAGAGAGAATGGCAGGAGAGCTGTATAAGGGGCACTGGTTGGGGTAGTGGCTAGAGAAGACCACCCAGCTGCGGGAGGTGACGCAGGTTAGGGCTTAAAGTATTTCCTACCTTCACATGTGACTTAAAGTTTCTTTGAAACAGCATAGTCTCTAAGTATGGCAAATACTTTAGGCTTCTTATTCTTCCTCTTCTTTTTTGTTTTTTTTGGTGGTTTTTACCCCCCAACCATCACCCTAGCACCAGTTTGGGGCGGAACACAGACTATCTTGTGCCGAAGTTATTCAAGGGATCCTTAACCTGAATATATCAAATATTTGCCTATAGAATATATTAATAACACCCTGGAAATATTTTTTACTATTTTAAAAATGTATGTAGGGGCTATTGGGATTAATTAAAAATTCATTCGAAAGCATTTTTGCCTTCCTAGCTCCTCTCTCCAGGGGTACCAGAAATATAACTATTGTGTGTATGCGTTAGGGTGGGAGCGGGTAGGGGGTTTGCAAAATTTTGTAACCTTAAAAGGTACCACCTTTTTCCTCCCCCAGAACTTAGCACAGAGCCTGGCACCTCGGCGTGTAATTAATAAATGAAGTGGGGCGAACGATGAGGGGTGCAGGAGCCAAGCTACGTACAGAGCTCATTCATGCATCTAAGCTGCCCCTTCAGGACTGCACACCACGCTCCCCTTGCCCTGGCGTGATAGTGGGAGACGCACCATGAGGCCCCGGGCTCGGGCCTTTTCCTGCCTGTGTTTTCCCAGGTGTGTGAGGATCACTAGGAATTAGAGTTTAGCACAATCTAGTGCCCCAGAGATGCAGGCCTGTCATCAGGCGGTCCACAATTAGTCCTGGCCCAAGCCCTTGATTTAAAGGAACTGGCCGTTGGATGTAGTGACTAATGCCCTGAGGACAAGCCAGGGTCTCACTCCTCACAGAGGTTCGGCCCCCTCCTTGGCTGAGGAGCCCTGTCTGTGGGTTGTCTGGGTTAAACATCAAAAACCTACCTCTGCAATCTGTTTCCTGGCTTGGCCATCCTCCCAAATGGGTCCCATAGGATAGAAACAGTGACTGTGCCTATAAGTGAGCACTCCAAATTTGAGAAGGATCCCACTTAGGCATAGTCTCAGTGGGAAAAGGAGCATGAGATCATTTTGTTCCCATGTTTCTGAAACCCTTTTTCCTTCTGGAATTGGCAGGCCTTTGCTTTTCCTGAGCTCTTACCGATGGTTTCCCTGTAAGCTATTGTTTTGAGTCAGTCAAGAAGAATGTTAGGCTTGCATGTGCGTGAGTACATGCCCGTGAAAACTCATACACACACTTACACTCACACACTCATTTATACTCACATTCACACACATTCACTCTCACACTCTTCACACTCACATATACTCTCACATTCTCTCACACCCATGTTCACACACACATAGGAAAGCCATGCCTGTCTTGAGCTCAGGAGAGATAGCCGGATCCAGTGGACTGTTTTACTTTAGAAGGTGACAGAGTAGACCTGTATTCTTATTGGGCTTTTGCTTTTCTTTAACTGCACACTTGCAGTAGAGTAGAAGAGACGATTGGCAAGAGATAAGGGACTACAGTATTTCCTTTATTTGTCACATACTACTGTGCATCGTTCCTACACAGGGTATGGGTACAGGCTATCCAAAACCAGGTTGAAATGTTTGATGTCATGGTGTAAATGTTTGGCTATTGTAGCTAAAAAATTAAAGTGACAGCTTTGTCTGCTAGTGAGATTATAATTTTTTTTTTTTTTTTTTTGGTGGTAGGGGATAGCATACTCTTGCTCAAATTATTAGGAAAGAATACTTATTTGGTCAAGATTATATTGGTAAGTGTGTGGGAAGAGCTGGCAACTGAGACATACTGGTCATGTCTCCAAATACTTCACCTGTTTTTCTGGCTAATGGAGGACTTGACCACTCACTGAATGAGCATAATTCTCTCAAGGAAGGTAATAATGAGGCACCTGAAAGAGAAGATGTAAGGAACCTCGGCTTGTGTATCCACCTGAGGAAGAAGATGGCCAGAAGTTCATCCAAACTCTGCAGAAGTATGTAGGCCTTCGCTCTTTTCTTAGCTGTTCAGGAAGACTTACTGAGATTGTTTATGGTAACAGAATGTGCCACAGGAAATGGCCTGCAGGGCGTGTCTGAGGAAGGACCAATGGGTTCGCAGAAATGCAACACCGGCTCTTCTAGAGTGATGGCCAGCAACAGAGGTCAGTGTGGCCTCAGCCCAGAGCACAGGACTAGCCCTGGGCGTGGACTTTTAAAAATGAAATGTATTTATAGATATGCTCTTGGGGCCAGAACTTGTAACTGTTCTCTGTTGAGCCGCACCCCTCGACCAGCATGGGACTCACTTGACAGGGTTATTGGTTTATCTTAAACTGGGGCTGAGAGCTCCTGAAGGTCCCGGTCCCTGTCACTGACATACGTGAACCTATTACTTTTTTAAATTGCTTTACTCTGAGATACATATAGAAGAGTATATAAAATGTATAGGTATAGTTTGAGGAGTAAGATGAACATCTGTGAAGCCAACAGCAAGATTAAGAAAACATTGCAAATACCTTAAAAGCTCCTCCACCCCTCAGAGATGACAAGGCGTCTCAACTTTTTTTTTAAATAAACCTTGATTTACTTATGTATGTATGTGTTCTTAAACTATGTATTTTTGTCAATTATTTTTTTTTAATTTTGAAAAATTGAGTACCAAGCACAAACATAGCTTTGAGAAGGTCTCTATTGAAACTGTTAAGCAAAGGATCCCAGGAAAAGCAGAGGGCTCCCCAACAGTTGTTGTCATTGCTCGCTGCAGAGTCACATTTTTCCACCATAATGTTTCATTAGCTGATTTTCTCCCTGGTCTCTGTCATTGTATATCAGTTTGTAAATGGGGTTGCCATTCCCAACCCCATTTGTAAAAAGTTCAGAGAATAATAAAAGGGAACTCATAACAGGAGAGAAATTTCAAGGGGCTCATGAACCCTTTGAAACTGGGTGCATTCTGTTCTTTTGGGTGAAGGGGTCCATATTTCCAGAGGAGTTTGTGTACCCTCCTTCTCCATAAGGGTAAGGAATGATGTGGCCATTGTGTTGAGTGGTGCATGCGTGTGTGTGTGTGTGTGTGTGTGTTTAAATGAATCCTGGAGCTGTTAGAGATTTCTTGAAATGTGTTTTGTCTGCATTGGCTTTTTATATTTGAGCATGCCTAACTGTTGAAAGGGAAGTGAACAGTAACTTATACCATGGATGTCCAGGGTGGAATCCTGAACCATGCTGTGGGTGGCCTAGCAGGCTTTGCATTTTCTCTGAAACCTACCTCTCCTTGACCCAGAGTAACTACAATGCTAAGGGGAGTGGGGCGGGGGGGATGGGAATTGTTTTAGTTTCAAAACAGATGACTTCACTGCCTAATTCCACTTTATGCAAAAGAAACCCTTTTGCTTTATAAATAATAATGGACCTTTGGGGAAACAGATCCAAATACCCCTTTACTGAGGGTGGGAACAGATTTATCACTGTTGACGCTAACTCCCTAGAAACAAAATACAACCATTGTTACACCAACCTCGTAGTTATTTCCTAAGTGATATGATATGGCAATTTAAATTTATAATGACTGACATTCACATATGCTTTATATAAGCTGACTTAACGTGAGGTATTGTCAGCTTTGTTCCAGTAATGCAAGGGAATTCTAGAATCCTTTAGCTGAAAGACATGTGATTTTTATCCAGTCCATGCTATTTTTTATAGACAAGTTGACTGAAGGGTCTGTAAGGTTAGGTGTAATCTGCCCAGGGTTGCTTTGATTTGCCAGAATCAGCTAGAACTGCAATTCCAGGGGAAGGGGTATTTAGATGATGATGGTTTAAATATCTAATTAGATGAAGATTAATTAAAACCATAATCAGAAGACATTTCCTGGAAAATTAGCATTTGATCATTTCATTTTAACAAAATGACCATTACCAACGCCTTTGCCGACCTATCTTTGAAATGTGCTATTTATGATCGCCAGGATCTATAAACCTAATGTATGAGAAAGGAGCTTTCAATTTGATTCTATGTTCTTTATATCTCACAAACTCAGAATTTCTAGGTCTTTAGGTTTTTTCTAAAATTTTTAGATTTTTTTCTTGTACTCAAATGTAAACAGTTCTGGGTTTTTTTTTTTTTCTTTCTTTCTTTCTTTTTTTTTTTTTAATTTTGGTTTTGAAGAAAACCAGAGGTTTCAGTTTGGCTGTTGAAAGTCTTTGGGGATTAAGGGGAGAGAACTAGGAGAACAGTTAAGATTTAGAACTGCAGGCTGCCTTGTCTCTTCTCCTCTGTTAAGAGCCAGACGGAATAAGAATAACATTTATTTAGAAACTGAGTTTTATTAAGGCAGGTAATTTACAGGTAAATTTAAGCTTTATAGGTTCGATTCTGTGATTCCATTTCTGCACTTGCCATTACTTGATGCTGATTTTGGATAAGGCCTGTTTTCTTTGAGTCTTGGTTTTTCTCATCTGTAAAGAGAGGTTGGGCCTGATTATCTCCAAGGGCCCTTTGCAGCCGTGTGTCTGGACTCCACATTGTGTGGGATTTGCCGAGAGAGGCTGCTCTGGAGCTGCTGGTGGCAGCATGAAGCGTCTCCTTAACTGAAGGCAGAGGGTTGGCGGCTGTGTCACTGCACAGTGAGTGCTCTGAGAACATTTACTCCACATTAGCATTTTCCTTTTTCACCCTCTTTATAATCTGAACCCCACCAGTGTCATTCAGTGTTGGGAGGACGTTGCTCGCCTGCTAACGCGGCCGCCTGCACTGATACGTGTCATTTGTTTCTTCTTTGCCAGCGTGCTGCTGCAGGGTAACATCGGATCTGGGCTCCTGGACCCTTGGATGCTCAGCTGCCCATAAGTTCCTGGATTGACTTGTTGAAAGCAGTGAGTAAATCCATGTTTCTACTTTATAAGCAACTGTAGACCGGTGGACTAAGAAGGCTGGATGGGTCGTGGCCAGCAGTCACAAAGTCCAGCCAGATCAGCTGATAGACTGCCTCCCTCTGTAGCCAGCCTCCCTCACACTCAGCTCCAAGGACCTTGGTAATGGCTGCAGTGACTAGACACGGCCTTTCTGCTCCCAACAGTCATAAGGCCGTGAGGCCTTCTCAGTCTGCCTCCTTGGAGCTTCTTTGTTCCACCACCAGAGCCAAACATAAATGTCTCGATTCTCTGTCTTTATTGGCCTACAGAAAGACTCTTTAGGGTGGCAAATGCAGTTGCTCTTCCTTCTGCCTAATATCCTCTTCTCCAGCATGTTCTTCCTCGTTCATCACGTCTTATAGTAATGCAACCCCTAATGTCAACCCCCTTTAGAGAGGGCTTATCCGACAGCCTCATTTAAAGATGTCTTCCCCCAACCCCAGGTGTTCAGTCCCTCCCTCAGACTTTTGCTTGCATCTTTCTTTGCACTTAGGATAGGCCTCTGCAGTCACTTGGTAGACCACCCATTCATTTGATCAGTGAATATTTGAGCATTATGTGCCAGTGGCTAAAATATGCATAGTCTGTGCTATCATGGAACTAGCATGAAGAAAAGAAAAGATCAAGTAGAAACCTAAGTAAACCATCACAACCCTATCTGGGTAGACTTTGTTGTAAATACTGTAAAGCAGTGTCACCTGGGGGGTTTTATTAAAATGCAGATTCTGATTGTATAGGTCGGGCGGGGCCTGAGATTCTGCATTTCTAACAAGCTCCAGGTGATGCTCATGCATCTAGATTGTAGACCACGTTTGGAGAAGGAAGGTCTAAGGTTCTTGATGCAAGTTAAACTTGTTCTTGAGAATGACTCAGTGAACTGTCTGAAGTGTGTGTCTGTAAAGCCACCAGAGGAGACCCAGTGGGATTTTGTCTGGCTTCAGCCACGTGAGGCTGCGTGGTCTGGAATATGAGCCTGACCGGAAAGTCTAAGAGCCTGTTACCCTCACCTGTGTCTGTCGGCTTTACCTCATTGTTATTGTAGGTTGTGGTTTTGTGAATGAAATCCTACCTTAACACACTTTTTAGATTCGTGGAATGAAATCCTGTGGGGTCTCTGCAGTGTGCCTATACCATAAGTCAGCATTTCTGAAAAGACTGAGGGTGTTTTCTATTTGTAAGAGTACACTGTCTGAGCTGGGCTAACGTGGCACTTAAGTGGCGTGTAGAAGAGAGACCATGTTGGAAGCTGTGAACTGACCACAGAAACCTCAGAGCAGGCAGAGTGAGGCATTCAGGGCAACCCTGCTAAAGGCGATGTCGTGGGTCCAGGCAGTGAGCTGTTCCTGCGGTGGTTCTCTTGAGATACCGATGACGTCGGGGATGAAGGAACTCACCTTGGGTCTCACAGCAAGTAGGGTCAGAGAGGTCCAGCCTCTGTTGGACCCTGGGTTGCTGATTATTTCTGTTCTTCTTCCAAAGTGGTATCAGGGCACTCTGTATAGTCTTTCTAACCTTTGTATATGAGAAAGCATGTTCTTTTAAAACAAAAAATGTATAACAATGTTCTGTTTAATATATTTTAAAAACTAATAACATAGACATGGATTCCATGCTAATATAAATCTACCCCATATTAAAAGATTGCATATTTCTTTGTGTTAATTGTTACATATTTTCTTACATGAAAAGTTATGTAAACTTTTATTCCGCTTCTGGCTGGGCTTCTTCCCTACCTCTTTTTTTGGGGGGGAGGGCGGAAAGTGATATTGCAATGAACCTTTTTGTAATACTTATTTGTAGACCATGTGGGCATTTCTGTAGAATTTCAAGGTCCAAAGATGTGTACCTTTAAAAATCTGCCTTTCAGAAGGTGGTATAATTTATGTTCCCAACAACTGTGTAGGGACCCTCACTAGCAGAGAATGTTAATCTTTAAAGCTTTTGTTATTTTGAAATTTAAATCAATATATAAAGGCTTCTTTAAAAAATATGGCCCTGCCATGTCTGAGAGTTCATAGGGCTTCCAACAGTCTAACCAGCAGGGGTTGCCAGGTGTCCTTTCTGGTCCTGTGGTTCAGCCATCACAGACCTCTGGACTTGGCCAGTTCTTTCTGAGGGCGCCTCGTCTCTGCATCCTTCCTGTTCCTGTTTATGCCCAGTGGTGCTGAGTTGTTGATAGATGCTCAGAAGCGACCACTTCTGCTCAAATGCACATGAGAGAGATGTGGATTAGGCTGGAGGCTGCTTCTTGCTGCCCACTGCAACCTTGGCCTCTCTTTCTAGTACCCGCTCCCTCCTTTTTTGCTCAGAGGGAAGCTCCCTGGCACACTTACTGTGGCTGTGCTGGGCAGTCTGTGGCTAGGGTCTCCCCAGCACCCAGAATTATTCTGTGACATTTATCAGAAGCACATTTCTCCAAGGCAGAGTCATAGTCCCTCTTTGTCATTTGGCAGACATCTGTGGCAGATCTCATATTTAACAAGAGTAGATGATGACAGGATGATAAAAGGCTGATAAAGTTCCCTGTGGGGTGAGCTTTGCTGACTTGCCCACCATGGAACAGGCTTCTTTTGTTTAGCAGCTGGTGCCCTGTCTGGCAGATTTCTGTACCTGGGTATGTAGGACAGACCTCTCTTTTGGGCCAGAACCATTTCTAGTGCAAGTCATCGCTTTATATATGTTCTTTCTTTTAAAAGTGGTGTTCTCTATGTCTGGATCGATCTCCCGAGCAACCTACCTGATGGGCTTCAGTTTTGAGTATATGCAACAAAAATCATCGAAAGTAATTATAGCTCTTTACTCCTGGGTCAGCCTTGGGATGCCTTGACCTCCTTACCCTGGAATTGTTCTTGCAGGGGGTACACACTTTCCAATTCTTGGTGGGATGAAGGGGAAACACCAAATAGGCTCTCGTCTAAAACCATCTTGACAACAGCCACAAGGCTTGTCATGGGCCTTCGGAATAAGACTGCATAGTAGTTGGGACAGTAGCTGTCTCCCCCAGATGTTTTGTTCAATGGAGATATTTCAATGATGAAGAAAAATATCTTCAAACACCCATCTGAGAGCAGAAGCAATCAGTTAAGTGGCTCCCACTATGTAGCTGGAGCACATCCCCGCACCCATGGACTACATTTGGCAGCGTGTTCTTCAGCCAGCTGCACAGCTCCCAGGAGAAGAAAGGGCAATTGCACAGAGAAGATGTTATGGAAAGGAATGAGGCAGGAGGAGAGGAGGGTGTGACCCTTGCACAGGAGCTGAATTTCTAGGGCAGGGTTTGGGCTTTGCTGCCTTGAGTTCACGATCCAGCTGCTGCTGCTGCTTGGACCTGCTGTGGTGAGGATGACTCAGAAATCTGGAAAGTGGCCCTGGTGATTTCACCACTGGATCAGAGGCAGCACAATAGCCCTCTGGGGTAGGTGTGGTTGCTGGGGAGTATTTATTGATAAATTAGATAGGATTTGGATGCTAGTGCTCTGGGACAGATTTTATTTTTATTACTAAAAAAAAGAATAGAGCTCTGGGGGCAAATATTGTATAAAAGGAGGGCGAATGATACCAAATGAGTTCAATCTCACAAGAAAGTCATTCGTTTTGTGAATTAATTGCCTTTAGAGATCACTTACTCAAGGGTCAAGGCTTTTGCAGGGGTGTCCCAGGGGATTCTGAGAGGTCAAGAGGGTACTCTAGGCTCCACTAACCCCACTTCTTAGAAAGGGTAAAAACCCAATCATTTCCAGATGAGGGAAATAAAGTCTGTATTGCTGTTGCTGCTGTCACAAATGACCACAAACTTAGTGACTTAAAATACCACAAATATATCGTTTTACAATTTTGTAGATTAAAAATCTGATGAATCTCAGTGGGCTAGAATCATGGTGTAGGCAGGGCTGGGTTCCTCTGGGGGCCGTAAGGGAGAATTCATTTCCTTTTCTTTTCCCACTTTTAGAGGCCACCTGCTCCTCCATCTTCAGACCGAGCTACATTGTATCTCCCTCTGACCACAGCTGGGAACGAGTTGCTTTTAAGGACCTTTTGATTCCACTGGCCCCACCTGGATAATCCAGGAATATCTCCCCATCTCAAAGCCCTTAATCACTTCTGCAAAGTCAGTTTTGCCATGTAATGTAACATACTCACAGATTCTGGAGATTAGGATAGAGACACCTTTGGGGGCTATTATTCTGTCTACTGCAGGGTCAGACCAGTGTGGACCAGGATTTCAGGGAGGTTAGCAGCAGAAGTAGGTCCAAGGACCCAGGTCTGATCGGCCAGGTCTGTTCACTGCCCTGTATGATGCTTGGTGGAAGTGGAGTGGTCTCTTCACAGGCTGTACTCTTAAAAGGACTGTGAGTATGAAGAGAATAGAAGGAGCCATCTGTTCCTATGGGAAAAGGCAGGTGGGGGCTCTGAGCTCTACCTTGTTGTGTTAAAGCTTATGGTGACTGTTTATCTCATTGTATTGATAGAGGTCTGTCCTTGTCAAGGCTCCTTATGCTAAGGAACAGACACAGGTGAGCTAGGTTAAATGAAGTGGGGGTGGTGTGTGTGGTTGTTCCGTGCAACTAATCTTTATTGAGTGCTTGCTGTATACCTAAAAGAACACACCGGGCACTCACCAGTGCCCTCTTGCTTGCTCTTTCTGCGACAAGCAGCTCTGGGATATTTCTGTACAGTACCACCACTCTCCTGCTTATCAAAACCAGATCAGTTCCTTTGCTTAAACTTCCGATGGAGACTTCACACTGAAGCTCCACTCTGTTCTGCCTAGTGCCTCACAACTTCCTGGCTCAACTTCTAATTCCTAGAAGGTGAATCTGAATTGCTGAGCTTGGGCCAGGTGTCTAGTTGGCTCGGAGGTGGAAGAGGAGCACAATCACCTGGGTCTGTGAGTGGGTAGATGGTCACACCTTATTCAACAGATGGTGCCCTGGAGATGCTTTGCAAATTGAATCTGTGTT